AGCAGTGGGTCACACAGATACATTTATAAACACTGACTTGGATATAGAGTTACACATTTGTAGTCTACTATTTGGGCTAGTTACAATACTGTTTAAATCTGCTTAACTGTAAGCGAGGTGGTGGTGTATGTGAGTTAAGAAATTTTAATTCAACTTTCCTTTATACTCTCTCTCTCATTTCAATCGTTTATTCTTTTACTCCCATTAATAATGTGTTTTTGTAACTAATTTTACTTGCTTATTGTCATAATTATTGTTATTGTTGCAGTTTAAAATACTGTGGTATTGACAAAACTGATATTGTACTGTATTGATATCATGTCTGACACACGTGAGCATTGGCCCACTAAAACTGGGCTTAGAATAGGTCATCTGAATATTTGCCATCTTCTGGGAAAACTGCCCGAACTGTCCCTTATTCTTAGTCAAGGTTTTCACATGTTCGGCCTTAGTGAGAGTAGATTAAATGACAACATTACAGATGATGATATACATATCAACGGTTTTAGAGTTATTAGAAGAGACCCACATTGTAAACAAGAGACGGGTATAGCGGTCTACGTCAGTGATTCACTAAATGTTCACCGTAGACTAGACTTAGAGACTAAGGAGGTAGAATGCATAGTTTTGGGAAGTTAAGCTACAAAATCACAGACCCATTGTAGTTAGCTATCTCTATCGGAACCCTAGTGCTTGTAACATGTGGTATGAAAACTTCACCGTCATGATGGATACAGTGTTCAACAATGTAGGAGAAATGATACTTCTCGGGGACTTTAATATAAACGCCCTAAAATCCAATAAGACGTGGGAAGACATAACTGCCTCATACAATCTCCAACAGCTAGTCAATCAAGCTACTAGAATAACAAAATCATCGTCAACACTCATAGACCACATTTATGCAACATGTCCTAATAACATCATAGAATGCAAGGTACCCACTACAGCAATGAGCGATCATTACCCCGTAACGTGTGTGTGGAATAAAATAGGAACGAAAATTACCAAACAAAAACATATAAGTGTTAAATTTAGAAGCTACAAAAATTTTAATCAAGATACATTCCTACTGGACCTGCTCAGTTCACCTTTTGGCCATGTTTATCAACTTCCTGACCCAGATGACGCACTTGAATATTGGCTGAAGACCTTCTTTTGCGTATTTGATAAACATGTGCCAATTAAGGAGGTCCGCGTAAAACATCAGACTAAATCCCCATGGATCACCCAGGAAGTACTTGAAGTTATGAGAGAGCGAGATAATGCACATAAAAAATAAAGATTTAATTAAATACCGAGGTCTGCGAAACAAAGTCCAGTATGCCATTCGTAAGGAGAAGAAGAACTTTTTTAAAATGTTAATAGTAGATAAAACAAACACCACCAAAGATATATGGAAGGCAATTAATACATTGACCAAAAAAGGTACTTCAACGCGTTTACGGACATCTAACATAACATCAGATGATTTTAGTAAGTTCTTTGAAGCCGATATAGAACAATTAAAAGCCACAATACCAAATTGTCCTTGTGATTTATCCCTGCTTTCATCATTTTGTGAAAATAAATGCTCTGAAGATATTCCTTCTGACATACCTCTCATGTCAGTGGCTGATGTGTTTACACATCTCAACAGCCTCAGAAACAGCAATGCGTCCGGTTTAGACGGAATCAGCAATAGGATCCTTCGCAGTGCTGCACCAGCTATTTGCGAGACATTGACTTTTATCTACAATCAATGTCTTGCTAAAAGCTACTTCCCGTCGGCATTTAAGATTGCCAAAGTTTATCCACACCTAAAATCTGGTTCCGTAGACAGTAGCATCCCAGGTAATTATAGACCCATCTCCCTGTTATCATCTCTATCAAAACCACTAGAGAAACATATTCATAAAGTAACATTTGAATATTTAGATCGCAACAAACTTATAATCGATAACCAGTCAGGGTTTCGACCACAATATTCTTGCCATACTGCCTTAACAAACATGATAGAAAACTGGCATAAGAATATTAATGATGAGAAAATTTGTGGAGGGGGTATTTATAGACTTTAAAAAAGCTTTTGACATGATAGACCATAAAATTCTTATTAGAAAATTAGAAACAATGAAATTTAACCCTAGACTATTAAAGCTAATAAAATCATTTTTGTTAAATAGAAAACAAATAATCTCTTACAATAAATCCCTATCGCAGACAACTAGCTTAAATACTGGGGTGCCTCAGGGCTCGATTCTCGGCCCTCTGTTATTTAATATTTATATAAATGATCTTCCCTTATGTCTGACGTCGTCCTGCGATCTATTCGCAGACGACTGTACCATCTATGCAAATGCTCAAACGAGCAGTGCACTAGAGTCGTCATTACAACAAGAACTAACCAATGTAGCTAAATGGAGCAGTGCAAACCGTATGCAAATAAACATTAATAAAACAAAATCTATGCTAATAACAACGAGACAAAAACTATGTAGTCTAAATTCACAGAGAACGCTTCAACTCCACATTGGGAGGACTCAAGTGGAAAGTGTAACTGAGCACAAAGTACTGGGGTTGACCATTGATGCAAATCTAACCTTCAACTCACACGTACAAGCACTTGTGAAGCAAACAGCTAAAAAGGTGTACCAGCTTTCAAAAATTAAACCTTTCTTGACGAAAACACAAGAAAGATATTCTATATTTCTCACATCCAGACATATATAGACTATTGTTCTACAATATGGGATGGTTGTTCCAGTTCTGTTATCAAGAGGCTCACGTCTATGCAAAAGCGCGCCATTCGCTTAATAAGTAATAATCATAGGACAGTGAGTTCCGAAACGTATAAAGGCCTTATGCTACTACCGCTTCGTGAACGTCTACTTTTCAATAAGGCGAAATTTATGCACAAAATATTATCCCAAAAGACTCCATGTTACTTATGGCCGTTGTTTAAATATAATAAAAGGCATAGTAATCGCCTGAACATATTACACATCCCTAAACCTAGGATAGACCTTTACAAAACAAGTTTAGCGTACTCCGCAGCTCAATTGTGGAATTGTCTTCCACAACAGATCAAAAATAACCACTAGTCCCTATAGGTACAATCGAAAACTGTTTGAATATTATTTGAGCACAGATTACATGCCCCCATAGAGGCAAAACAGAAAAATATTTTTGAAATAGCGCCTTTTCCCATAGATTTATAACAACCACTACAGTTTGTTGTAGTTAGAAATGTAGACATTTCAGTGCTTGTATTGAATGTTTTGATGCTTTTTATACTGTTTTATTACTTGATGTGTGAATGAAATGATGTAGGAATGGAGGGAGACCTCGAAGGGCAGAATGTAAGACGGGCCTGCGAGCCCAATTCTTAAACCCTTTAAAAATAAAGTTTGTTCGTTCGTTTCGTTCGTCGTTCTATCTATCTATCTATCTATCTATCTATCTATCTATCTATCTATCTATCTATCTACTATCTATCTATCTATCTATTCTATCATATCTATCTATCTATCTATCTATCTATCTATCTATCTATCTATCTACTATCTATCTATCTATCTAATCCATCCTCTCACCATCCATCCATCCATCCATCCATCCATCCATCCTCCATCCATCCTCCATCCATCCATCCATCCATCCATCCATCCATCCATCCTCCATCCACCATCCATCCTCCATCCATCCATCCATCCATCCATCCATCCATCCCTCCATCTATCTATCTATCTATCTATCTATCTATCTATCTATCTATCTATCTATCTATCTATCTATCTATCTATCTATCTAACTGTCTGTCTGTCTGTCTGTGTCTGCCCAAAGGTCTGTCTGTCTATCAAACTGTCTGTCTGTCTGTCTTTCTGTCTATCAAACTGTCTGCCTGACTGTCTGTCTGACCGTTTGTCTGATTGTCTGTTTGTATGTCTGTATGTCTGTCTGTAGACTGTTTGTCGGTCTATACATCTTCATCTATCTGTTGGTCTGTCGGTCTGTCTGCCTGCCCGCATGTCTGTCTATCTCTCCTGCCTGGTATATTGTCTAGAATATGTAACCACTGAACCTCTATTTTCCAAGCGTCAGTTTCAGCTATGGACTAACATTTATTGTTGACGCTGATCCTAAGATACTGGCATCAGAATCATGTCCCAATCCATGGTATGGCACTGGTTTGTTCCTGTAGCAGATTACATTACAAATGAACCTGGCCATTTCAGTTTCACAAAATTATAGAGGGATCTCTGCCATTAGCAAAATCAGTCCAATATTTACACGAAGTGGCGCATAATGCATGTATTTTTCCCTAAATATAAACCAATGAAAATGTTATCAAGTTTCAACCCATCAAGTTGCCTACAGTCTGCTTTCTATTGGCTCCTCGTGTATCCCCGAGAGCTTTTCAATTTGGTAAAACATTAGCGTTATAGCGTCTATGCAGGTTTCAACCTAGTAGTTGTCGTGTGCAAGCTTCGCCAGTGTGTCGTGAGACAAAATACAGTCCTGTGCTTTCTAAGACTTGTTCAAGTACGTCATCATAATAATAGCTGTTGTTGTTTATAATAAACAGACGGACAATGTATTGATTGGCACTCATAGAAATAAGTAGAAAGATATAAGGACACACCGGACAACATAAAAAATCGAAAGCTATAGCTATTGTGCCGGGAATCGAACCTGTCACCTCCAAATGACGTGCCCGCCCAGACATGGAAAGTTGTTGTTGTTATGAGTTAGATGACAAATCAATAAATCATTTTTGAAATAATGGGCAATGTATAATATCCACATTGTTCTTCCATACGTGTTTAGTGAGTGAGGAATGGCTGCTTAGCCCCTCAAAGTTTTTCTTAGAGAGAGGGAAGGACTCAATACTCCCTAAATTGTTTCTTGGAAAGGGCCGGGAGGGGGAGGGGGTACCTGGGCACCCAAGTTCCGATGTCCTTGCTTCTATTAACAATTACAAACTTCTGAGAATGTAATTATAGCCCTTAATCCTGGATATGGTATTTTCAATACTGGATATGGTATTTGTAATACTGGATGTGGTACTTTTGATACTGGATGTGGTATTTTTAATACTGGATGTGGGTTTTTCAAATACTGGATGTGGTATTTTTAATGCCGGATGTGGTATTTTTAATACTAGATTTGATGATTTTTAATGCTGAATGTGGTATTTTTAATACGGGATGTTGTAGTTTTAATGCCGGATGTGCTATTTCTAATACTGGATGTGGTATTTTTAATACTGGATGTGGTATTTTTTATACTGGGTGTAGTATTTTTAATGCAGGATGTGATATTTTTAATCCTAAATGTTGTATTTTTAATACTGGATGTGGTATTTTAAATACTAATTAATGTTTTTTTTTTTTATGCATGATGTTGTTTTGATAATACTGAATGGTGCGTTTTTTTTCAGGCGAGCAAGATATCGACATCTCACCTCACCTACGCAAGAATCCTTTTGTGCCAACGTTTCTTCCCACGCCGGGTAACGTTACCTTTAGTCGCGGCGAGGAGGCCATCTTGCCTTGTGCTATTGAAAACCGAGGTACTAGAACGGTAAGAAACCAAAGTGTGACTATCTACAAAACACTGCATCTATCCTTGTACTGTGTAACTATTCACATTGTAACTATCCACGGCGTAACTGTTCACAGTATAACTATCCACGGCGTAACTGTTCACAGTATAACTGTCCAAGGTGTAACCGTTCACAGTATAACTGTCCAAGGTGTAACTATCCACGGCGTAACTGTTCACAGTATAACTGTCCAAGGTGTAACTGTTCACAGTATAACTATTCACGGCGTAACTGTTCACAGTATAACTATCCACGGTGTAACTGTTCACAGTCTAACTGTCCAAGGTGTAACTGTTCACAGTGTAACTATCCACGGCGTAACTGTTCACAGTATAACTATCCACGGCGTAACTGTTCACAGTATAACTATCCACGGTGTAACTGTTTACAGTATAACTGTCCAAGGTGTATCTGTTCACAGTGTAACTATCCACAGTGTAACTGTTCACAGTGTAACTATCAACGGTGTAACTGTTCACAGTGTAACTGCCCAAGTTTCAACCCATCAAGTTGCCTTCTGTCTGCTTTTTATTGGCTCGTCATGTATCCCCGAGAGCTTTTCAATTTGGTAGACATTAGCGTAACTATTCACAGTATAACTCTGCACTCACAGTGTAACTATCCAAACACACACACACACACACACACATGCACACACACTCACACACACTCTGCAGCTGTTTGTGTACAGTGTAATTATCCATAGTGTAACAATCCACGAGTAACTATATACTGTGTAGCTTTCCACTCAACAGTGTAACTATCCAAACACACAGTGCATCTACTGCATATACTTCTTGTATATTTGTAAATGTGTGAAGTTTTCCTTATAAAGGTCACATCCTCACAACACTTTATAAATGATTGTAAAACAGCTGTCAGTATTTATAAAACGTAGCCCTAACAGGACCTTAGCAAACTTTATCTAAATAAACACATTCGTAAATCTTCTTGTCTTTAAAAAAAAAAGCATGTCTTGTTTTGTTATCCCATTTTTTTAAAGTTTTGTTATCCGCTATTAACTTCTGAAATAGTGCAGCTTTCCCCCATGGGTGTCATCCTAGTTGCGGCCTTCAATCTCTACTTCCCACCTGATGTTATTTATGTACACAGGTATTTAAATTTACGAGCTCCTTTCGGGTTTATCTCATTTACTTGTCTTCATTACGTACTCTATGGTATTTTCGTTTCGTTACCCCAGTTTTGTACTCGCGCGCTGGCTATTATAATTTGAATCTGTATTGTTTTACCAGCTGCTAGCTGTTGCAGAAATTCCGACTATTTTGCAGAATTTATTTTTCAGTTATGACTGACTGCCCGCCCTACATAATATACTTTTGACACAGCTCCTGTGCTGTTCAGTTTGTGGTAATCGTAGTCCTCTTCCTCACTGTTTAGAAGTAGTAGCAGCAACAGTAGCAGCATGAGTAGTATTGATCTAGTATTAACAGTACTGTGGTACTGGTAGTAATGGTAGGTCGGCGTCTGTGGCTTAGGCGTTGCGAACGCGCTTCGTAATGCCGGGGTACCGGGTTTGATCCTAGCTGCGGTCGATTTGTCTTGCATTGGTTTCGACAATGGTACCAATAGCTGACCGTTTAGCAGCAATAGCAAACTACTGAACGTAAAATTTGCCTAGAAAACCGCAACAGCCAAAAAAATGCAACGTCCTCTAAAGCATACGCAACTAACTTAAAACTTAAAATGGTAGTCGGGAGGCGTCATGTTGTAGTGGCTAGACATTCGCCTGAGAATCGGAAGTGTGTGAGTTCGTGTTTTGACGGAGCCGAATTTTTTCTTTCGCAAAAACTTTATCTTGGTCCATGTGGACCTAGCCTTAAATAAGTACCAGGTACAGTCATGGGAAGTAAAGGTGGCCGGTGTGATGTTGACTGCATCACCCACCGTGTGCCGATGTGTCTATAAAATATAGATCTAGCCCTATATGGCCAATAGGCCTGAAAGCATGGGCTGGGTCTTTTACTTTAGTAGTAGTGGTAGAAGTATCAGCGGCAGTTGCAGTAGTAATGTTAGTCCTAGCTGTAGTTGTAGCTGTGTGGCTGTCGTGACGATTTTGTGGTGCTGAAATGATGGACTCAACTGTTTCAAGAGTCAATCCTCTCCAAACAAGCTGGAGCTGTCTCTTGATTCAGTAGATCATTCCCATCCACGCCCACACCTCTCTCCACACCCACACTCACCCCCTCCCCCACTCCACACACTCCCCCTCCTTTCCACACCCTTACCCCCTCCCCCTACCCCCCACCTCCCTTATCTATTCGAGCACCGAAAATTAGTGACTGGAATAACTGCCTGTAGGTCCCGTGATTATATATTTAAATCCCCTATACAAAATGCTTTCTAAAAACCGTCTTTAAATTGGTAGCTGAAATGCGGGGAAATAAGGACAGTGGGCATCATATTAAACCAATTTAGATTAAGTGCTGATCTTCTTCTTCTCTTCATCCTCCTGATTCCACCACCTCCTCCTCTACTTTTTCTTCTTCTTCTTCTTCTTCTTCTTTAGCGATCAACGTTTATTATACGTCTATTTCAGTATCAGTATGGGTCATCAACGTTTACTATACGTCTATTTCAGTATCAGTATGGGTCATCTACGTTTACAATACGTCTATTTCAGTATCAGTATGGGTCATCAACGTTTACTATACGTCTATTTCAGTATCAGTATGGGTCATCAACGTTTACTATACGTCTATTTCAGTATCAGTATGGGTCATCAACGTTTACTATACGTCTATTTCAGTATCAGTATGGGTCATCAAGAAGACGGTGCACTAGGTCTTCACTGGTGCTTCATTGTCTGTCTTGTACAGACGCTCAAGAAGAACACATTTCTTCTCTTTATTGGCAATCCCACAGGACATGACATGGAGTTTAAAAAAAAAAAAAAAAAAAGTAAAGATCCCTTTTCACGCCTTTTGGCGCATCGGGCATATGGGCAGAGCGTCCTTACAGACCATCAGCACTTTGTGGGTAATGTGGTCAGCATTACGCCGGCTGTCTTTACTTTCCCAGGACAGCCCATCCTGGTACCCATTTTAGGCTGGGTCGACCTGCGACGTCCCATACCACGACAAAAATCCACGCAGCCTGCAGTGGGTTTCGATCGAGGTATGCTGGCTCACGAGTCGGACTCGCAACGCCTTAGCCACGGACGCCACGGTGCACGGCAACTACATGGTAGAATTTTTAAGGCGTGGAAGGGTCCTTTACTTTTCGACTTTACTGATGGGAGTCCCCCGTGTGATTTTCAAAAAAGCTCGGCTAGATGTGTCGCTATGGGGTTTGGATCGGGAAGGTCGGGTGGGTTCGCTCCCTGGTCGGACAATTAGGACATTTTTTCAAAAAATGACCTAGGCTTCCAGGTCGACCCTGTGAGAAATTTCATTGTCTGGAATGACCTCTGTAATTCTTTTGTTGCTATGACCCTTAAAGTCGATGTTACGGCCCTTGGATGTCATCAATATCGTTAGAGAAGCGTCCTTTCAATCGTAACTTTAATTTTGGGAATAGAAAATAATCACAGGGGGACAAATCTGGGAATCAGGTGAAAGGCTGAGAACATACACCTGTTTTTGGGCCAAAAATTATTGTTTTGATGATGTCTCTTGGGTACTCAACCCGCTGATGTTTTTGGTCATCAGACAACAAATGTGGTACAGACTGGCAAGCAGCTTTTTTCTTGCTAAAATCTTGCACTAAAATGTCATGAATGGTCTCTCTGTTAACACTGGATTCATCTGCGATCAACCTCACAGTAAAACAATGATCTTCTTGTATCCATTCTCTGACTTTTGCAATAAGTTCACCATAACCAACAGAAATTTTGCGTCCAGGTCTAGGTGCATTAGTAATCATTTCCACACCACTTCTGAATCGTAAAAAACCCACCTGAAAATGTGTGCACGAGATAAACAATTATCCCCATAAACTTGTTGCATCAAATCAACTGTTTCAATGGCGCTTTTTCTGAGTTTTAAAAATAATTTACTGTTAGCTTTTTGCTCTATGCTGAATACGTAACAATGCAGCTCTGACTAGGTCACCAAAATGGCGGCTTGTTTGTTGTCTGCTTATCAAGCGGCGACGAAAAGTTGCCAGATCTTTTGATGAATGTTGCCTCCTTACATTCCATGCTTTGTTTCATAGATAGCATTTTTGTTTAGGCCATAATAAAATCAGTCTCATTACCAAATTGTCGGACCTTGAATGCCGATTGGTCTATATAGCATACACTGGTGACGTGATGCGTATTCCAGAGATCTGGTATTTACGTACACCGAAGCCTAGCTACCAACCCAAAGCAACACAATCGGACCAGACTATGACAAATGACGGATAAAATCATTGTGAGGCTACACCTAACATTCCACACACAACTCCATCACATGATTAACCCTTTCTTATTGCAGGAAGACAACTATAAGACCACTATGGTAACACGCGGAATATTTTCACATTTCGGGTCAATCCAAACCACACACAAAAACTTTTTTCAGTGCTTTTTAGCAAAGTAAAATACAATTTTAAAACTACAAATGATTGCGTTCTGACTTGGGGTAAAGAAACATTTAGCCCAGAGACGTCGCAAATACCAGAACTTTAGCCACGAATGTGGCGCAAATACACAAGACCACAAATATAGCCGAAGCCTGTTGGCAGCTTCGGCTTGCTAGCAGCAGGTTTAACGTGGTGGAGTTTTTGATTTTTTTTTCTTTAAAAGAAATTGGAACTATATGGCATACTGGGGCACCGAATTAAACTGAAAAGAAACTGGGCAAGGGCCATGTACAGTTAACCATATTCTTGACATATGCATAGATATTCTTGTCTTATGTGGAGTGCCTGGAAATGAGAAAGCTGATTAACTGGCCGGGGAAGGTGCGACAAAAGTGCAGCCGGATGTACCAGTCACAGACCACCAAAAGAAAAGAATTAAATCGATCAGGGAACC